ATGAGTAGGTGTTGTCCCAAGGTTAAAATCCCTGGAGCAAGGCTCAGTTTATTTATGATGTTATCTTGCTTAAAGACAAAAATACTACTCTAGTGAAAAAACGTTTTTTAAGCACACCAAATTAATAGGAGTTGCTTTCTCCCCTTTTTAAATTGTCATACCTTTCTTGATATGTACCAGAAAGTTTGTTGAAAAGAAAAATAAATTTGACAAAACAAATTTAGTCAACAAGGTTATCAATGATAAAAGCCAAGTTTAAACTAATTTTAACTTTAATTTCACTTATTTCATAACAATAGTAAAAATGTATTCATAACTGACTCATACAATACTTTATGCACAATTTGTGCACAATAGTAAAAAGTTAATGAAACAAATACGGATAAAAGTTAATACCAGTTGCACACCATTACCTTCACAATGACAAATGAAATCATAATTGTCAGTAAACAATATAATCATAAAACTGATTGTTTCTTTTCTATTTTTTAAAATTACTTATCCGTTCATATGCAGGTATTGTAACGGATATCAGTGAGCCAAGTTCATAGTCCCGGCTAATCTGTTGCATTTACTTTCGCACAAATGCATTTGGGAAAGACAAGAACCGTCTAATCTCCCCATCCACATTGGGTTAAATTAAATTGCAAAGTAGTCTGGACTCTCAAACCTTAGGTGGCAACTAATATTCTAAGAGAATGAAAACACTATATTTCAAACTGTGGAGAAGGCACTGAAAACCACTGTCTACTAGTACTATCATACTATCTTTCTCAAGAATGTATAGCTGAAGTCATAGATAAAGAAAATGAATCTGTGGATAGCAATATAATTGCTTACATCCTGAAGGTACATGGAATTAAAATTAAGAAGAAAAATCCATACTGTAAAATTTTACACCCTTTCTTTATTTTCGCTTTTGTGATCTTCCATATATATAACAGTTTTTACAGTAACACTGAACACCATAGGGGAAAAATATAGGAAAAATTAACGTAAGAAAAGTTAGACGCTTTGTCTCGATAATAAAAATAAAATGTTATAACTTCTGCTTGTCAGCTTATAAATAAGGAAAAATTCATTTGAAAATAGATATTTTTATTAAAATAAGTAATATTTTAATTTATTTTTATTTTGCGTCTTAAAATAAAATAAAAGTCGTAATTTTTTATTTTACGTCTTAAAATAAAAGTTGTAATAATGAAATATTTTATTTTAGCGATTGTAACTGAATAACAATTATACTCGCCTTTGTAAAAAAAGTTTTATTGAATGATGAATAAATGATAAAATATTTTCCATTAGTTTTTTAGTTCTCAAATTTAATTTCATAAAAACTGAATTATTGATCATGAATCTGATGTAAAAAGATAAAATAAAATTCACGATATCAAATGTAGTGATTACGATAAGCTAAGAAGAAGCATCAACAGAGGCGTGTTAAGTTGTTGGTGTTGTTGCATTATTAATGATTAGTGGGAAAATATTCAACTAAAGTTTAAAAGAGAAGAAACCTATTGAGTTTTTAGACTTTTTTTTATGAAATACAAAACATTTTTCTAGTTTGGAAGAAATTGACACTTTCACTCATAGTGACCGACTATCCATCCGATGACCAAAACTATAAACATCTATTTATTTAATTATTTAATTAACAAATTTTGGATATTCTTTCACGTCTTAAGGTGCATTTTATTTTCGTCTTTTCTTTTTTTGTTCTACACAATTTTGCGCGAATTTCGATATTTTTTAAAATTTTTTTTACATTTTCACCCTCAAAAGTCAAAGACATTGACGCTTTTTTTTTTTAGTTTATTTTTTTTTTAATAATACCTTTCTTATTTTTTAAAAATATCTAATTCAAAAATTAAATTAATAAATTTATAATAAAGAAAACTGAAGCAAAGCAACGCACAAGTGGAGAACTTCGTCTCAGCAATTATGACACACAAAGTTCGTTGCATTCGATTATGTATCAAATGTAACATAAAACATGTTATGACTTTTTAAAACATCCAAAATAAGTACTTGATGGCCCTATCATTCTGTCAGGAGACAAAGCTACAAAAAAAAAAAAAAAAAAAAAAAAAAGCAAGTGTTTAGCTTTCCTTTGTAAATTATGTTGTCACCAATATTTTTATTTTTTACGGTGCTGGAGAAGGCTGGTTCTTTCTGGGGGCTACTTTTCCTTTCTTCTTAAGAACAGGCTAAAAACAAGAAGAAGACTCAATCGCGGTGACCTGAATAGTGCCACTAACTTCAATGGGTTATTATTTATTTTATTTTTTGCGTTATTCATAAACACAACTTCTCATCTTGACTACAAGTAGTAGTGTAGTATCTAAAAACAATAACTTGGGGGTTGCAACGGGGCGCCTCGACATGTGGGTAATAGCGGCTTCCGCTTATCCATTTGTGAGTGACCATTCAGTCCTTGAGTAACCCAACACCAGACTTGTGGTTTTTTGTACCAAACTAAGCTTAGTAAACTCGAGTATCGTAGATTTTGCAAATACAATGAACAAGCAGTAAGTAAAAAAATGTTTTAAAATATCTTTTGAACTAAAATTACAAAGTAACAAGTTTAAAAAGTTGGGTTGAAAAGTTATCGACTCACTTCCCCAAAAAATCTGACTAAATGACCAAATTTTTTTTAGGGCTTCTTGATCAGAACTTTTCAGCACCCTCTCATAAATTTCTTAACACGGTGATCCACAACATCCACACGAATAGAAGCAGTTTATGAACTAGGTATATACCAGTAAGTAGTTTCACTTTCAGGCAACAGGTCAAATTTATTTACAAAATATTTTTTGTCTAATAATGAGATATCTGTTTTAAAAAATGTTTGCATTATATTCAAAATTAAAGATAAACAAAAATATATATATTATTTTTCATTTTACAATGTAGAAAATTTCTTCTGAAGCGCCCCTGAACGATTTTAAAAATTAAAAAATTCAATTCACTATACAAAAAAAAGAAGATAATTCTAACTTTTGAGAGGCTTGAAAGAAAAGTTCTTTTCATTTTTTTATTTTTTAGGCAATTGTTTATTTACTTTTATTTGTTAAAAAAAATGAAAGATCAATTTGTAATAAACAAAAACTAGGTTGCTGTGTAACAGTGTAACTGTAAGTAAGGGTTTTTAAAAAGGCACGGCACAGTACAAAATCAAAAAGCTTTTACTAATTATTCCTTGTCTGTTCCGTTTTTTTAGAAAATAGTTTAAACAAAAAAATTCTTGCCTAAAATCATAATTATTATTAATATTTTATTTTTGTCAAAAATGCATTTCTTTTTTCTGAGAATACTGCACATTCTTAAGAAAAAAAAAAAACATCGTCACTAATGATGTTTTTTAGTCTTCTACTCTGTTCATTTTTCTTCCTTGAAATATTTCCGGGTTTGGGTTTTTTTTGTTTTTTTTTTTTAATTAATTCTATGTTCTGTCTCTGAAATGAATGCATTGATGGATATAATTCAGGAAAATAATAATGAATATAATTTTCTAGTGTAAAATTCTTTTTTATCTTACTTTCTTTTAAAGGAGAGCCTTGGTTTCAGTTTTTTAAAATAAATAAATAACGTTTGAAATTGGCAAATCAAAAATTCAAAATATATAGTGGGTTACCTTAAGTTACCTACAGAACATAACACCAAAGAAGGTAACGGTAATTTTTTTTAACCGACAACATAATTCAAGTATTGTGGATGTTAATGATGTTCATCTCATCTCATCATTGACAAGGTGGTAGCCCCACGCAAACAGGCAGCACAACACCCCATTGTCAGAATTCAATTTGAATTGATGAGACTAAAACGAAAAATTTACCTAATTATTTATTTTTATCCTTTTATGAGTTTATATGATGAGACTGAATGAAAAGATTGGAAAATAATTTAATGATCATAAAATGTATACAAGAAAAAAAATCTATATGTCAAAAATAACTACGAGAGAGAGTTAATAAAGCACACCTGTAAAAAGGAAGGCGAGTGTTATTGTGCAGGTAGCACCGTTTCCATTTAACTATATTTTGTTTCTCTGGCAGAATAATCGATCTCTTCCTGATCGATACAAATGGATTTTTATTCTTTAGAAGTCACGGCCCTATGACAGAATTTAGTTTTCGACTTCAAAGGTAGTTAAAGTTTGTTTAATTTTGCTACCAAAAAAGATACTAGAAATGAAAAAGTTAATTGCAAATTTTATGCACATTGCGTAGTCACTTTAAAAATGAAATAATTGCAACAGATTTCGAATCTACATGGTACACAGATTTTTTTTTTACATTTACAATGCATTCTAAATTACGGAAAATAAGGGAATACCAAAGAATAAAAATAGTAAGTAACTGTAAATAGATTTTTAAGAAAAACGCGAGCAAGTGTACACTCTTCTACACGTGCACGTAGTTAAAATTACACGTAACACACGCACATTAAATTAAATGTGTGTGTATGTTACTTTATGTATCATTATGTAAATGAATGGAGTGAATGAATGGATTGCTTGGATCGTGTACACAAATGTAAATAAAATAATTTCTATTTTTCGGTGTTTTGGAAAAAAAAGCAATTCCCAGAGAGAAAAGGACAAACTAAGAACAATTTAAAATTAAAAATCCCCCCCCCACCAATATTATTTCTACTCATTGTTTTTGCTTTGCTCCTTTTTTTTTTGTTTATGTGGTGGTGTACTCTGTGCATACCTCCTCCCTCATAAAAAAAATAATAAACCTATTTTAAATTTTATTTATCTACTTCGCTAAGTCAAATTTTAAGAAAGAAGTTGCAGGTTAAAATAAATTGATAAAAATACTTAGAATAACTAAATTTACGTGTTTTTTTTACTGTACTTAACACATGCATTCATTCTATGATAGAAGACGTGTTAGTTATTAATAATAATTTTTACACAAATAAAAATACGTACTATGAATAATGAAAGTATCATTACAATACATGTTCGTTTGTAATGCAATAAACTCACTTACCACTGACTCTTTTTCAGTCGGTGTGTCCCGAGTTGATGATGGACTGTGGTGACAATAGTTTTAAGACGAAATGATCACAACCTATAAAGTACACATTATTACAACACAAAACATTGATATACACATCAATTAATATGATGAACTCGTTCCTGATTCTTTTCGCTTCTACTGTCCTTTTCTTCTCTATACTCAGAAAAATAAATAATTAAAGGCTAAAGTGTATAGTATCCGTTTCCAGAAGTGATGGTGGTCAGTTACACTTAATAAAAAGAAGTCAAGACTCTCGTAAACAGCAAAGAGAGACTAGCAGGAAAAACTGCAGTAGTAGGAGTAGTAGTAGAAAAACAGTGTACTACTACTTGTTTTTTTTTCAAGCAGCAGCAGTAACATTATTATCATTATTAGTAGTAGTTGTAGTAATAACATTGTACAGCTCTGACGTGTGAGCAGTAACAGAAGTAGTAATAGTTTTCAGCCGCTTATACAGACCCTCACCTTCTTACAATTCGTCGTAATGATTTTATAAGTACTTGGCTGAGAATGAGCACTTGGAGGTGAGGAGCATTTCGTGTGTCTGTATTCCGTCTCAATCTCTCTATGGCGTATACCTTCAGGGTATGGGTGATTGTGGCTCTTCACAACTTCATTTCAGTATGGAATAATGGAATTAGAAAACCTCCCTTATTAATGGAATACACATTTTAAAAAACAATTTTGTTTTTTATCTACATTGCTTTAAAATCTGACATTTTTTAAAAATTCATTCCTTTTATTTTTTTAAATAAAAAGATTTTAAAAGAAAATCATAGAAAATAGTCTTTTTCTTCCTACATTACTTTGCAAAGTCGGGTGACAATCATAAGATCATTTTTTCTAGTAAAAAAAAAAGTACTTTAAAAATAATTATATATTTTAAAATTGTAGCCTTTCTCTAAAGTCTGAGAATTATCACTCACTCATTCATTTGGTATTTACCAGGAATGTTGATTAACTTCAGTGATGTTTCATGTTTCACTGATATCATTTGCCTATATCTCAGTTTTTACAAATGCTAAAAAAAATCATTCTTGTGTGAATTAATTTTGATTTTTGATTTTTTTTAAGGAACTCATCAATACACTAAAGAATAAAGATGTAGTCTCAATATCTACACATCCATGTTCTACCAATGAGTGCTGCATCAATGTAATAATCTTAATATAAGATTTTTACAAATGTTTCACTAAATTAATACACATTTGTGGAAGGTTAAAGAAAGGGGTGAAAATTTGGCCTTATAAAAATATTCAACTTGTCCACAACGAAAAATTTAAAGTTTAAATTTTAAACTTTTTATCTTCCAGAAATAGTTGCAATGATCTGCAAAAATTGTTTTCCTTCTTTTTTTTTTTAGTCCAGTTTCCTTTTCTGGAGACAGTTTTTGAACAGCAGGAAATAGAGTAGATACAAAAAGATTCCCTAATGATCTCAACTCAGATTGTTGCATCCAGTTGTTACTTGGACTATCATGCACAATGCATGAACTCTAACTGACTACTTGATATGTTCTCCTTTATATATCATCTATGGACATCAAAGTAGACACAAAATGTGCACAAATATTTAACAGAAAATTGCTGGATCAATTCTAATGTGTGACTTAAAGAGTATAAAATTTCCAATAACCTTAATTATTATAGAAGATTGTGGAAGGTTGATGGGATGAAAATTTGGCATTATTAAAACTTTTGATGAGATTTTTATGCTCCTGGCACATTTGTCCAGCAAACAATTTTGTCAGACTTGTGTGAGTCCAGAGCAAAAATAAGACATAGAATTCACACAAATATTAATAAATATATTGATAGGACATTTTGAATGAAAAATGAAATTAAATGTGAAGAGTTCAAAGCAACTTTTAGTGTCTGTAGTTGAGGTATTTAAATGTAAGCGAGAGCAAAAAGAATACATCTTTTTGCTGTGAAAAGTTACCAAGAAATTTTTCAAATCTCATGCTACCTATAATTATCATCGGGTGGGGAATTAAAAATCTCAGTGCCTGTGATTATCATCAGGGGGCAGTAATCCAACAAAATTAAACTAGTAACTATGTATTAGGCTATAGATTTATTGATTTACTCTTATCAAAAGACTTGATCAGAGCTCTACGAAATCATTTTATTAAGATATTAATGGGGAAGAGGATTATAAAAACAAACACACATTCATTTCAAAAGTGCTTAAAGAAATGCAGCATCTGAATATGGATAAATAATTAGGACTAGTAGAAATTCAATAATACATTTTAAGAATTAAGGAATACACATTAATTAATATCAGTTGATAATTCATAAAAAAATGAAACTATATTTATATTTTTTGTTTCTTATGATCCAACAAATAGATATATTCATATTCCTACTTACACAGATGATTTAAAATATTATACCACCTGCCAAATAAGGTGTAGGTCCTCTATGTATCTGTAAAAAGATCTTATCTAAAAAGAATGAACTCTACAAGGCCTCTAATAGTTTTCTCTGATATCTAGGTCTAAAATGTTAACAGCAGGTCCTTTAACCCTAGCTTCTGTAAATCAAATGTGTTAGTCTAACTCAGGGATTCTCAACTGGGGTCTATATGTACCCTGGGGGTTCACACAAAAAATAGCAAATGGGGGGGGGTCCACGGTAATATTTTAGTGGTCCATGTTTCACTTCAGAATGGTTGTTAGAACTGAGAATTAGAATTTCTACAGTAATCTATGCCATATTAAAACACTAAAGATAGAATATAATTTATTATAGAAATTAATTTAATATATTCAATAATATTAATTTTAAATATTAATTAGACAAAATAAATTATTAATATATTAATATAAATTAATTAATGTAGTAATAGACTCAACATTGTGAAAAGGGGTGATCTTCAGCTATCATTGATATCACTGATCCGAATATAAAAACTTGCAGAGCAGCATCAACCACAGAAATAAACCTCACTGAATAAATCTGCATTTTTTTTTATTAATTACTCACATATTTTAAAAGGATTTATTATGAGTTATTATACTAGTGTACATAAATGTTCCATAGAATTTAGTTGTTAAATAAAAGTTTATTTTCAGTAAATTAGTTTTATTTCTAAATAAAGTATATACATTTACTATTTCTATAAAACAAAACCTAAACTTATCTATTAGTAAAAAATAAAATAAGCTTATTTTTTATTGAATTGTTATGGGGGTTCACCAAAATAATTAAGAGTAGATGTGGTCCATGACTAAAATATGGTTGAGGACCACTGGTCCAACGGCTCAATTAGATTTAAATCATGAGAGTTTGGTATCCAAGGCAACATAGTAATTTTTCATGTTTCTGGAACTATTCCCATATAGGTTGTACAGCATGAAACAATATATTGTCCAGATTAAAAGTTGCAACTACCATTGTAGAAGACTGCTGTCATAAAGAGGTTTACCTGGTTTTCAATGATACTGAAGTAAGTAGAATATGTACCCCTAGCATAATGTATTTTCAATTTCCTTACTTTTTATACTAAATTTGTTATAACTGATTCATACACCAAGATATTTGAAGTGTTTAAAATCAATTAATTTTACATTCTGTATATATATATATATATATATATATATATATATTTTTTTTTTTTTTTTTTTTTTTTTTTTTAGCGTTTCACCACAAGCAAGGTGGAAAGCCACTAGGATGCAAGGGGTTACAGAAAATTTGGAGCAAGATCAGATAGGAGTGATAGAAGAAAGGATTAGAAGAAGGGTAGTGGATAGATCAAGGCAACTGGAGATACAGAGGCCAGTGAGAGAGAGAGAGAGAGTACCGGGAACCCCTTCCTAAACAAGAAACAAGGCGTAAGCCTCTACTCATGTCCAAGAGAAGGGGGAGGAGTGTTGACTGGGCAGTAGGAAAGCCTACCTACTATATTTATGGTAGATGCAGTGTATGCACTGTGGTAATAAAACAAGCACATCCTATCTCCCCTCTCGCTTGTAACCAGCCATCACAATTTTCAGCATTAAAGCTAAATAAAGTTTTATAAGCTTCTATTTAGAGTTGTTACTATATTACAATTTATTTGACTAATTCACTTCTGCAATGAATGAACATATACTCTGCCCAGACAAACTAACTACAGATTTGAATTCTTTGAATGCTGAAAGAGAGTACCATCATTGGCAAAAAAAACTTTGAAAACTTAGGAGGAATGTTGCAATGGAACACCCAATAAGTTACATTACTTAACAAATTATGTATCAAGTAGCATCTACAAGTATTTCTCAGTTGCAGCCACATATGAGGAAGTCCAAGGAATCTTAGACAAATTGTATATCAGAAAGAAAAACAGAATGGTCACTTGTCGTCTGCTTGCTACAAGATGACAGCAGCTCTCGGAAATATTCAACAAATTGCCTTTGGAACTAAACAAACGTAGCAAAGATTTCACCTTCATAGCTGTTACAACTGAACAATACCATATAGAGCTGGTAAGGGATGCATTCATTAATGGATTATTTTCAGTAAACATTCAGCAGCAACTATCAGAAAATGAAAACCTTGCCCTCCAGCAATCCTATGACCAAGCAAGAATTTTAGAGTTAACTCAACATAATGCAGAATCTTTCATTCCACACCACTCTGTGAATGCAATGACTGATGGACCTGCTTCCATTTCTGCCCTTTCTTAACCCCAGGATTCTTTTGATTCACCAGAAACCATGGCCTTGATTAGACGCACTTGCTTTTTCTACAGGGGAAGAATTAATTTTTGCTTGTCATATCCAGCAAAAGACGATAACAGTTTTTCATATGGAAAAAAAGGGTCACTGGTCTAAAATCTGTAAAACCAAAAAAAAACAGCATCTCAGTGAGCTGCAATTTATGGTCTGCTTCATTTAATTGAAAACTACTATAAAAATCAAGGCCAATGGACTCTCTCTTGATATGATGGTTGATAAAGGTAGCACAGAAAATTTTATTGACACAAGTATCACAAATTCAAACTGGTGGAAAATTTTCTCATGTTAGTAGAGTAGTAATAGCTAATACAGTATTATCGCCTCAAGTACCTGGATACTGTTCAGTTGACTTGAAAATAAAAGAGGCCTCATACAATAAAGTGAAATTCTTAATAATGAAGAACCTCTATTGTAGTGTAATACTGAAAAACAATTTCCTTCAACATCACTCTTATGTCAAAGTACCATTTGGTTGACCCAAACTGCCATTAAAATTATGTGGACTAACAATGGCTTAACATGCCTTACCAAGTTCTCTTTGCAAATTTAACACCTGATTGACAGCCAATAACCATAAAATCAAGACAGTATACAAATGAAGACAACTTTTCATTAATACCAAGATTAAAAGAATGCTTAGAGAAGAGATAATAGAACCAAGCCACTCTCCATGGAGAGCACAAGTCCTTGTAACATCTTCAGAAAACCACAGAAAGAGAATGGTTATTGACTATTCACAGACCATTAATAAATCCGACCTGTTGGATGCATACCTATTAACATGTATTGACAACATGACTGGAGAGATTGCTAAATATGAAATATATACTACACTAGATCTTTGAAATGCTTACTACCAGGTCAAAATAAAACCAAGTGAAAAAGCCTATACTGCATTCAGGCAGGATGTCAACTGTGCCAGTTTTGCATAATTCCCTTCGGTGTAATGAACGGTGTGGCCAGCTCTCAGAGAATAATAGACAAAATAATGTTCAAAGAAAAATTAAAATGTACCTTCGCCTGTATAGATAATTTAATCATAAGTGGCCATGATCAGACCAACCATAATAGGAATCTTAAGAAGTTTATGGCAGCTCTAGAAAAATATAACTTAACGCTAAACTATGATAAATGTTTTTTAGGCAAAATGCTATTGAATTACTCAGATATGTTGTTAGTAAAGAAAAGATGAAGCCAGATCCAGAACAACTAAGACCACATCTTAATTTGTCAATCTTGAATAATTTACCCTCTTTTCAACAAGTGCTGGG